GATGTAATGACTGTAAGCACATTCATCAAATAATTTTATCCCATGGAAATAGCCCAACACAAACAAGAAAGAGTTATAAATGGAATGTTTGCATTTAACAGTCGCTAATGTCGATAGAACGTGATATGCTCAAAAACACAGACTTTGAAGATGTGACTCAAGATTTTGTTCAAATAAAATCTAGAAAGATACCTCTTTAATCAGCATAGATGTATGTGTAAAGGACTCATCGTGGATGATAGTTACTTAGTGTGGATTACATTATATTATTATCTATTCATCATAATATCTAATGTTACTGTAGATAAATATAAATGAAGCTCAAACTTTGCATATGTACGTTCTTTGTCTATTCTAACAAAATTATGGTCATAGGGAGCCCATTATCCCAATGTGCTCAGGGCCTAAAATAGGTGAAAGACGGCCCTGATGCGATTCAGTCGTTTTCCCGCATTCACCTCGGTGCTTCGAGGACAGTTTAGTATGTTGGACGGGTTGCGCAATAACAATAATTTTGGACGCTCTCTAAGTAACGTCGTTGTTGAAAAAAAAACGCTAAATTTGAGCTGATGAAGTAGATAGTTATAATCTATTCATTTCTAATCAAAACTGATTGAAGGTGGGAAAAACTAGGTTAGTGATAGAAGCTAAAATTATTTGAAAAAATTAAACTTTATAAATACTTATTTCCAAATGTATAAACTCAGATTTACCTTTTCATGATATGCTTAAAAATATGCCAAACAAATGTGGTTCGATATAAGAATTCGTTATCCAACACCAGACAGCAATGTTTCGACGTGTCATCTGTCTCATCAGTGGTGATAGGCTGAACCACGAATGCAGTTTTTTAGGGCACTGGGGGCAATTAGTTTCCTTGCTGCAAAAAAAAAGGAACGAATCTCATTTTGCTATCGATGTCTAAACTTGGCTTTACAACATTTATTACTGATATTCGTGATATATCTTCTGGCGATCCCATAAATGGCGTATTCGTAAAGGAGCTGTCATCGCCATTTCCGTCTCAAGTTTATATTGCTGAGCAGTTATACTCAGTAGAAATTTGTAGAGGATCTCAAAAATAATTCAATGTCCGTCGTGGTTTTTGCTCGGAAAGTAAACGTTTCCGACAAGCATTTGCCAGATTAATCCTTCAGAGAAAATGAAATAATTTTAGTCGATCGTTAACATTGTTCATCCAGAAACTGTCAAATAACCTATTTTTGAAATGGTCGGGAATAATTTTCTAGATAAATTGACATTTTGTATTCATCTGGCGGTGTCAATAGAAGTATCTCTGATTATTTATCTTTTCGAAATGATTCTACAGTTACTCGTATCTTTTATTTCATGAATGAGGGATAGTTGTAACTGTGGTATGGTCTCCCAATGAATGATAACTTTCTCAGTTCAGACTCGACTGAAAAATAATATACCTCTAATACTGAGAAATAAATAAATCCAACTACTTTATTGTCAATAAATACATTGCTGAAATTTGATCAAAACTTTTAATTTTTCAAACATCGTCGATGCGCAGGTCTAACTGATCTTGATTAGCGCATATCCAAAAAAATAAGCACTCGTAGGTCANATTGTTATAAAAAAGGCGCCAATATTTGTCCTCTTATTACAAGACTGTACTACTATTTTCGTTAACGTGGCGCGCAGATCCAACTGATTTTGATCCGCGCACGCATAAAAAAGGTTATAAAAAGGCGCCAAAAGTTGTCCTCCTATTACAAGACTGTACACATATTATTTTCAATAGTTGTACATTGAAATTCCAAATAGCATTTGTTTCAAAATAGTGTAAATAACTTCTCAGTTCATTTCCAAGGACTTTTGATATCACATATACTGAAAAAGAAATTCAACTTTGAAGCTGGAGAATCTTGGAAGATGAATCGCGGGAAATATTTGGGACTGATAAAGACTCTCGAAGATGAACCCAATGAACACCTGGATAATCAGAAAGCAGAATTTATTGTCCAACCCATCTGCTTCCATCAGCACTTGGATTCAAAAACAAGTTCTGGAGAAAGGGAGACACAGACCAGCAATTTTTACTATATGTTAAAATCTATCATCAATCCAAAAGAAATAGAGCTGATATCAGCAGAAAAACAAACTGAAACGGGTGGTGAATTTACATTCTTTCAGTTGGCTTCTGAACTGGCATTTTTGATGTTGCCTTCCTCCACTTGGAAAATACTGGCTAGCACAAATGGTAAAAGAATCTCAGCATTCACTTTCACCAATGGATTCAGTGGTTCTGCTGAACGAAGTGTTACCTTGAAGGCAGACAATCTTACTTATAGTATTATCATTGCGGGTCGTCCAGCAGCATTACGTTATTATCGTGAAAGTCTTGAAAACAGACTACATTGCGAAATACTTTTGTTTATCGTGGATAATATTGACGAAAGTGACAACTGTATTCAATGGAAAACAGATTTATAAATGTAATGTTTACATGACAATTATTCCCAATGTTTTTTTAGTTTATATGCTGTTAATGTTTGCTGATTTTTGCATGATCAGACTTATTTTATATAAAAGTTACCTGAGAAAAAAATGTTCTTATGACATTGAAATGTAGTTGGGTTGTCAGAAGTTTCTTAGTTTCCGAGATACAGGGCGTGTAACATAAAAATAAAACACAAATAGTTTTAACTGATTTAGTTGAAATTTGGTAGGGTTATTTAAAGTAATAAGAAGTTTATTCAGTTCTAACTTAGTAAATTATTAGGTTCAGGAGTACAATGGGCACCACAGCCAACAATATCGAGAAAAAAATTCCACTTTCTTTTTAGTCTCTTGTATTCTTCGTATCTATCTTCGTTTCCGAGATAAAAAAGTCACTATAACTTATTCTAAAAACTATCCATGGACAATATAAAATGAAAATAAAAAATGAACGATTTCGGCCTTGAAGTAATAAACTAACTATATAGCTGCAGTCGATTTGTCTTAGATTGTATAACTCCTTCAAAAGTACCTGGAGTATTCCTTATGATATTTCAATTGTCAATTATTCAACTTTTCAAATCATTCACATCTTACACAGGAGTTTTATGAACAAGAGCCTCCAAATGACTCCATAAATATAAATTTCGAGGATCCATATCAGGACTGCAAGCTGACCAGATTAGACCAGTGATTAGAATAGGTCATATCAAGATGTTGACGAGCAAGAACACTCAGATGAGCTGGAGGTCAGTCATGCATAACCAAAATGGGTGTATGAACTCGCAGAAAGTCCGTATAGGATTCACTTAATAATATTGCTGGTAATACATGGGCTAGTTAGCTAATCACATATAAATTCTTACCCAAACGTTCAGCAAAAATTATTGCTGTGTACCATCATATGAATCACCATTTGAAAAACACTTATCTTCGGTGAAAATAGCGAGGCAATAGATATTGGACCCGCTGTATGTAATATGGATATACGAGATTTTTTTTAAAACATTCCGAATGGTTTTTGTGTTGTTACTTCAAACTGCAGTACAATCTTCTTCGTAGTGAATGAAGGATATTCTTCTATCACATTTAGTATAACTTCTCCTAACTCAAGTGTTTTTACACATTAACTTGAATATAGCGTTCTAAATGTTTTAGCACATGGAAATACTCTGTCCAGGTAAATTATTCGTGCTTCTTCCGCATTTCCATATAACAATAAAATAATCACTGTTAGTTGGTCTCCAAAGCAGATTAGTGAATAGTTGATTGAACTTGGTGTTAATTTGTTTTGAAAAGCAGATAAATGAAAATTTTTCAGTAGTGAACCTATTGAAGCCAGTAGCGTTACAAATTTCAACTCAGTATTCTTCCACAAGGCCCTTAAACTGATTAAGTCAAATTAAATTACTATCTCTCGAAATAAAGAAGTGGAAAATAGTATAAGTACCTAGTTTGACAAATGAGGTACCTACTGAGATGGTACTGGACCTGATAATTTCAATATAGTTGAACATAAGTAATAAGGACAAGCGCCCTTATTACTTAAAGTAACCAACAAAATAATACCAATCAGTCATTTTTTTTAATACATCAATTCTATTTACGAAAATATAAAATATACAATAAAAATGCATACAACCATCAACCATTTTGATCACACTCATCAATATAAACTAGCATGAGCCACTGACTTATCAGTATCCTGATGTCCACAGAGAATTTCAATAAGGAATTGAATTCGATAAAACAAATTAAAGTACACAACAAAAATGCAAAAAAAACCATTTCATAGTTCCTTCAGTACCCATTGCCAAAATATTGCAAATAAAGTACTCTTGTGTAACTGTTATTTTATTTATTGACTGATTTTGTCAATGAGAATTGTATCCTTTCGACAATTAAGTGTACTCTGATTTTCTCGTCTTAGAAAGCCTTGTTTGTCACAATAATGTGGAGCTCTGTCTTAATTGACCTCCTTTCCTTAGCTACCCGTAGAACCCTTTATGGATTAGGAAGACCAGAGGTGAAAAAGCCCTGCGTGATTGAATCTTATGCATTATCAAGTATGGTTCAGTAACTTACAGAAAGATCGCTGCGATCATTAAGGTAACCATCCGACAAACTCAATATTGACCAATCAAATGGAATCTCTTGAATATGCCAATGACTGTCAAAGAGGGTATTCCACATTCCAGAGCTGTACATTCTGACCTGCATTGCCACAGAGCATCAGAAGATCGTCTCCTGGCTGGTGGTTGTAGTTTACTACTCTGCAGCTATGGGAAGGCTTGTCCCTCAACTGCGTCGTAGGAGACCTACTTCCCAAACTAAATACTTGTGTTATTCACCTACCTGGTTGCTGAAACTGCTACATATATCCCAAAATATAGAAAAGCTTGTAGAATGTGTTTCGAAATATTCATTTTCAAATTGGTATTTGGTTCGCCAGATTACAGACCTTTTTGATTGATTTTCTTTTCGCCAATATCTCCAAATTTGGTTGTTATTTGAATCACAATAAAAACGAATTTTGGGTCATACTCAACATAATTTTATTTAGAGTTGTTAGACATTGTATATAAATATAGTAAATGACCAAAAACTAATAAATTATCACATTATAGTTTCACTTAATAAGAGACGTTCATAAAATAAAATAAAAAATTAAATCAAAGAAAATTAATGTCGGTTTTCTTTTTTAAAACTATATCAGCAACATTCAGATGAGCAACTTTCTCTTTCTTCTCAGGAGGTACTGACTGCTGACAAAAACGCTTGAATGCTTCTAGTTCCCTTTCCTCAGCATCCATGTCATCTTCTAATACGTCTCTAGGGCTAAAAACACTATCTGGAAAAGGAAATGGCAATGCATTAGAAAATTTTCAACCACTTGATACCAGAAGACAGAGTGAATGAATGAAGTAACTTGTTGACAGAGATTCAAGGGCTGAATTTTTTTCTTCTGTAATTCTATAACTTGTGTTTTCATTTGCTGGAGCTAAGTGAGAATCTGCTATTCAATTATATTTTTGGATATAAGACAATTCAAAAGCAGAAAATTATGAAAAAATCGATTATGTCAAGGACTTAGTTTCAGGTTAATGACAATTCAACATAGTGACACTTTTTCGATAATTTAAGATAAACTCAAATTTTAAAAACTATCCTTTATTCCTAAATAGAGATTGACAAAATGGTGACCAAATAGAAAAACACTGATTGTTACTTACTCACCGTACATCCAGTCGTCTTTTTCAAAATTGAACTTCTCCCCACAATTCGGCGAAGGCATGATGGACACTTGGGCAGTTTGGCAAGATTTACTGACCTCTGTCTCAGTGGTGGGTACTTTCTTAATCACTTTGGTTATCTCGATGCCAGGCAAACCAGAGAGAATTGCTTGGGCATTGAACGGAGTCATCTCAGTACTCTCTCCTACAGGAGGCGGTATGTAAGGGGTGGGATTGGTCGTTGGCTTAGATATTAAGCCAGGCATCGCCATTGGCATGGGATTCAGAGCCGCACCATTAGAGAGCGATTCATGCAACTTCGAGCTCCTAATGGTAACAGTACCATTTTCATTTTTGAATATAGCAGCTGGCTCGCAAATGTCTGAATTTTTGTCAATACGAGAGGGCTCGCGCTTGGAAATCGTATCATATAATGGGTTCTTTAGAGTCACCATTTTCTTGCTAGCCTGAGAAGGAGGCGTCATAGGCTGGGCATCATGAGTAGTGTTAGAACACTTGAGAATGTTGTAAAAACCGAAACCTTGGTCGTATTAATATCAATACATTAAGTAAGTGGAAATTAGACAAAGTATTTTATTCCTATATCTAATTGAAGATGAATTTCCATAAAATAAATAAGTCATCAATATCACAAAAAAAAAAACTATCAATATTCAAAGTTGTAAAGTAATGTAATAAAGTTACAAACTGGAAAAACTATTTGACTGACACACCAGTAACCAAGAGACCAATGCATCAAGACAATTTTGAGTTAGAACATGTAAGTCAACAAAAACGGCTGTATGTCAGATTACAGAAAAAGTAAAATATGCTGATAAAAACAAGAAGTACTCTTAGCCGCTTTTTTTACATTGAGGGCACAATTTGTCAATTGTGTCCTCAATATCTATAGTCTTATCAATGCCAATGCGTTGAGAAGAGGGATCGATGAGAGAAATGCAGGTGGATAGATTGCATTATGAGAAAATCATTAGTAGCACGTGTGGCAAGAGGTTGTTACCACAGTTATGGAACCTGGTAATGAACAGTTATTATGTATTCTGGACCACAATGGGTTCAAGTACAGGGCTATGCAGATGACCTAGTTATCCTTAGTCTAGCGGAAATGTAATAATATATTAAGCAAAAGCATGCAGCAGGACTTGGATATTATGACGAAAAAAAAAAGATGAACATTAGTCCATTCAAATGGACCACAGTGTTTTGATTTCATTATTAATGTTGAAGTTAAAATTACAATGAAATTTTTAATTTTATCGTTCTTTTCATAAGTGTCAGCCTTCAATTATATTCTCCATGTACATATACTTACAGTACAATATCTTTGTTTGGTAGTTGATTTATTAGAGTATTTTTCAAGTCGAGTGCTTATGCAGAGCAAGAAAGAAAAAAGAAAAAGTTATTTTTAACGATGATTGGAAAAATAATTTTCTCAATGCCTAAGCAATGACCCACAGCCCAACAGGCTGAAACAGCTGTCTGTCTAACGTGAAAGTACTCGCTAATTTCAACAGAGCGATTCATAAAAAGGTAAACAATGGGCTGTTTGGAATAGGACCTTTGTCACTTTTCATAGTTCCTATGCTACTTTTTGCCATTACAGACTTTCGAAATCATTCAATAATCTAGTGTCATGTATACACCTCAACAATTTAAGGCAGTTTTCATTTATTCTATGGCCGTTCTCCAAGGCATGTTTAGCGACACTAGATTTTTCTGTTCTCCAAAACCGGATATATGCTGCGTGTTCTTTGAAACGAGTCTTAACAGCTCGCTTATTATGACCGATATATTTTTTGTTACAGTCCTCAAAGCTCATTTCATATATCCTCGACTTTTTATTTTCCAAAATCTTGTCTTCAGGGTTACCTTACATTCGTTGAAGCGAGCAAGAAGTTCTGAAGGCTACTTTCACGTTCAATTTTTTAAAAATACGATCTAACTCGTTAGTGTATCCTGGTTCATACAGATGGATTTTGAATCTGTCCTTTTGAAAAGTCGAAAAACTACAAAGATTCTCAAAAAATGTACGTTTTCTAATTAAGTTATCTAGGTACTATATTTGAAGGATACCCATTGTTTTTAGCTATGTCCCTGGTAACATTTTTCTCAATATCGTATCTTTCTTTACTTAAGAGGAACGTAAAAAAGTATATGTACAAGAAAGTTTATTCCTGCTATTTTGTATTGTGAACAATGGTGTGAGCTATCAGGAGACTAGCTATAAAGGGGGTCAGTGAGTTTCTCATTTTCATGCCTTCGTGCTGTCTGTAGAAAGATTTGTTGAACTGGAAACAATTCTGCTTCATGCAGATTTTTGGCAGTTGTATGTAGAATTTGATTACTTCTCCACTGATACCATTGACTCTCAGAAGGTCCCTCAAATATTCAATAGTTTTTGGTTTAGGGACACTTGGAAACAACGAGAATACATCAAATTATACTAAAATCTCTCCTCGCAATTGTACATCCTAATTTTTTTCTAAGAATTGAAGAAACTCACACTCAGCTGTGAGATTGAGAGAGTCACTATTTGGTTAACTGTTTAGCAATTTCATAAGTAGGGGAGCTTATGGCGGAGACAATTGGTCGCACAGACTTATCAGGTTTGTGAATTTATTGGTAAACAATATATTTTAGGTACTATAGGATCAAAAACCCGTATTTCCTGTTCAAAACCGATGAGATCAAATTTTCACAACTCTTGAGTGTAATTTTCACTTCTGAAACCATCTGAGGCAATGGGTTCCTTGGTAATTCATTATACACAGACTTATTGCTTTTGTCTGCTTCACGATATAAAATATCTTTGCCCATCATTCTTTTGATGATATTTATTTCTCTCTTTTTTTATAGTATCATTAGTCTTCCTTGACAAGTCATTAGAAATGTTTCTCGCAAGGCTCTCGAACAAACCTTTTCGTTGTCTAAGGTAAGTGCTTTCAACACTGACCACAATATCTTCCAAGACTTCGTTCGAGGAACTGAAACCAAATTTGAAACCCTTATTCATCAGATCGAATTATTCCTTATCAAAAGTCTGACTCAAAAGATTATCAACAATGTTGATAAATTTCTTTGACTTGCTGTTCGTTTCTTCAACTCCTAAGTTTTTTAAAGTTTCTTGTTCAAACAAGCCATTTTCGGGAAAGAAAAGTTTTGACATTCTACTTCTTCATCTTCATACAGAAAAATGTTTCAAGATCGAGAAGTAGAAAGCCAAAACATTTTTTCCCAAAAATTATTTTCTCTTAAAAACATACCCCTGTCAATTCAAGTCATTTTCCTATTGAATAATGATTCAACGTTCCTTCTGAAGGTCTGCAAAAAAGCAAAATGTGGCATAAGAATTATGAATAATGACAAAGGTTCCATTTCCCGCGAATTTCTAATCAAAATCATTGATGATGTCAGAAAGTGAAATTAAAGTACCTTGTCCTAATGAAAATAGACCAGTTTTGGAGTTAGGAATTAGTCTACTTCATTTTTCGAAGACGCCAACTTAGTTCGTGAAACGCGCGTAGAGAAGAGTTGTTGCTGATCTGGTGATTGGGAAAAGTGCTTGTTTCAGATTTATCCTACGTCAGAGGTTCCAGTTCCACCTTCCATTACAAGTATTTCAGGTTCTTAATATTTTTTTTTCATAAATTCATCTATTTAACTTATCTGTTACTTAAAGACTAATATAATATAATCAGGTTGTACGGAACCTTAAGGAATGACCATTTGATTTGGGATATACAACTTTCGCGCTCTGCACTAGGTCAGCTATAATGTTTGGTAGTAGCACCAGGGCATAAAACTGTTGCTCTGGTGTTCTAAAATATCTATTCATCTACATAATCTAGTTGTCTGATAAAAACAGATTCTTGGGAAGCACCTCTATAACATGAATATCTTCTTGAAAGATCACGTTTCATTTAGCATTTTTATCTCATTCAATTGGTTTGGAATATATTGATATTTAGTTTAGATTTTATATTATTAGTGAAATTATCTGACAGTTTCATTGCAAAAAATAAACTGGAAACTTACCTGGTGGTAATCGGAACAGTGAATTTGGTATCAACTCCTGCCCATTTGTCTTCTTGGTTTCCTTTGGTTTCATTGTTGGTTTTATAATTTCTGTCGTTGTTTTGATAGGACTCTTGGTAACTTTCTTCGATTCCTGGGAAGGTTTACTGTTATCCAAAGCTACTGTCACTTTCAGCTCCTTAGTAACAACAGTTGGAGGTATTATTTTATTTTGCTGCTTCTGCTTCTTCTTTTTCTTTGCACTATTACTAATATTACTTTGATCTTCAAAAACTTCCTGTTTAACTGGGTTTGTCTCATCTGATCCATTGACCATTTTGTAAAGAAGCTTATCTTGATCTGGAGTCGACCCTTTCAAGGTAATTGTAACACTCTCAGCAACACGTTTTATGGTGACCATGGCAGGTATAGTTTCTTCAACGATATTTACTTCCTCCTTAGCAGGTTTTTTGGCAATTTTCGACAGTAGGCTTCCTCGTTGTGCCAGTCTTTTCTTTTCAGCCTGTCTTTCCTTTTTAGATTTCTTTTTCTGATCTTTCAAAGCTAAAAATCATCATCAGTTATGAGAAACATCAGGTCTCTGTAAAGTAAGTGTGGTTACAGTAAAGAAGTTGAAACATGCAACAACTAATACATTTGTATTACTTGTTGAAACGAAGAGATGAAAATATAAGTGAGAATTGTAAAGGAAAATGTGAAACACAGCATGAAATATGAAAGATTAAAGAAAATCTGTAAAAAAATGAATTTTCAAGATGAAATGAATACCAAGAAAAAAAATCGAAATGATCTATTAAAAATTGGGACTCTGGAAAGTTTTGATTTCTGCAATAGTTCAAGAGTTATAAATGAAGGTCATTGATTTTCCTGATGATAATAGAAATTCCCTGCACTATTGAAATTACAGAAAAATTGTGAATAACTTTTCGCAAATTTGTCTGACAGGAACAAATAAAGTCCCATAAACTTCACTCTCACTGGTGATTGATTCATTTACAGATATTTTTTCGAGGTCACGGAATATTTTGAAAATTATCGATTTTCTTAAATATTCATGAACAAGAAAAAATTTCCAAGAATAATTCAATCACGTGTGGTATTCAGTGAGAAAATTGAACTTCAACGAATTATTTGAAAATTTTGTTATAGTCTTTCAAAGTAGGTCAAGATAGGCTTCGGATGACATTACAGATTTGACAATCTTAACTTAGTTTATTGTGTGAGCACAAACAAAATGACTCGATTCGGTCAAGGAAATACTGAAGTTATTCGTATCATTTATTTTACCAATACAATTGAAAACAAATTATATTTCAAGATACAGTGCGGACGTAAATGGGGGTCTTGTTACCCTTCAAATCTCTATACAACGACCTTTACTGTTTTGAATTTCGATAACTGATTAAGGAGTTATTGATGTATGAAATGGCTATGAAACAAGTCTCAATAATAAAGGTACGTACTTCCTATCAAAAGCAATAAAAGCTCATATGGAAAACTATTTTGGGTTAAATAAAATCGAACCAATGTCATCCTCAGTAGAAGAAGGATTCACATGCAAAAACGTGGCACCATATCAGTTTCGTCCTTCCACAATGTCAACAGTACAAGAAATGAGGTCTGCAAGAACTTCTGAGGACCCTTCTTTTTTTAGGCGCAGCAAGGAAACGAGGATCAGAGTATTGCCCTTGAACATTCATTCATTAAGACACAAGACTGATGAACTATTATTATTGTTAGCTGAATATGAATATCAGGATATAATTCTTTTAACTGAACATTGATTGAAACCGGAAAAACCAATATTTCTACCTCAGTATAGCTTGATTTCAAAATATTGTCACTTCAACTCAATTGGTGGAGGCACCCTTGCTTTAGTTAAAGATTATCTAAGTTCTAATTTCTTCAAGGTTGACGAATTGGATCATTTAATTATGGAAAGAGAGTTTGAATTCTCAATCATAAGATTCGCCGAATTGAATCTTTTTGTAATATGTGTATACAGACCCCCTACATCTAATGTGACAAACTTTTTGAAGGGATTGGAGGTTCTTCTAGATCAGCTTTCCTTATATGCATCCTTACTTCTCACAGGTGATTTTAATATAAACTTTTCTGATACAACATCTACAAATACTAAGTTATTGCTTAACTTATTGACATCGTTTAACCTACATATGCACGTAGACACTCCTACAAGAATCTCTAATTCCTCTTCCACGATCATTGATTATTTATGTACAAATATTAATGCCGTTGAATGTATGGTTGTAAATTCTGGTTTATCGGACCATGAAGCCATTTTGTGTAATTTATCATTCGAGAGAAACGTCAACAAAAAGTATTTACGACGAGGAAGACTTTTCAGTAAACACAACTATAATAAGTTTGCCCAACTTTGTAAAGAGTCTGACTGGAATAACGTCCTACATTTTGAGGACCCCCTGAGTGAATTCCATAAATTACTATCTGTGAATTTCAATTGTGCATTTCCCATTCGAAATTTAAAAAACAAAACCAAAAAACCCTGGATTACAAAAGGTATAAAAGTATCTGCAAAAAATATGCGAGCACTGCATCACATTCGAAAACATGGAAATATCGATAATACTGATTTCATGAACTATTTTAGTAAGTATAGGAATATATATATAGAAAAGTAATTAAAAATGCCAAAAATATGTATTACTTCAACAGAATTGAACACTCCAAGAATAAACAAAAAGAAACATGAAATATTATCAATGAATTGAGAGGAAAGCATATGACCGAGTCAAAAAAGCCAACTCTGAACTCATTTTATTGTTCTGTGGTAACTAAACTGGCTGAAAAAATCATTGTGAAAAACGACCCAATGCCGTACTTGAAGAATATTACAGTACCTTCTTCTTTCTTCTTCACACCTACGGATATCTATGAAATAAAAGAAATGTTTGGTGAAATCAAAAATAAAAATTCGGTTGGGTGGGATGCCATTTCCTTAAAAATTCTGATAACTCTTCATGACAGGGCTTTGAGTGCGTTGGCGGAGGCAATAAATTTCTCATTCTCCAAAGGTATGTTCCCATCGTGTCTGAAAATTTCCACAATCATTCCTCTACATAAAGGAGGCGATCTTGACAACCCAGCTAATTTTAGGCCAATTGCTTTGCTACCCGTCTTGTCTAAAGTTATAAAAAAAACGGGAAAAAAACGAGTAATATCCTTCCTCGAGAAAAACAATGTGATAAATTTATTCCAATTTGGCTTTCAGTCTTCAAAAGGTACACAAGACGCCATAATTTCACTCCTGGAAAACCTGTACACCAATTTTAATGACAGAGAATCTGCGGCGGCCATGTTTTGTGACCTAACCAAGGCCTTCGATTGTGTAGACCACATGCTACTTCTTCGCAAGCTGGAAGTTTACGGATTTAGAGGATCGGCATTACTTTGGTTTGAGACGTACCTTTCTCATCGGCGGCAGAATGTTCTATTAGATGGAATTTCAACAGAGGAACGTTTCATTGGCAGTGGGGTTCCACAAGGTTTCGTTTTGGGACCGGTGTTGTTTCTCATTTATGTCAATGACTTGGTCCATGTTGACATAAGTGGTAAATTTACATGTTTCGCTGACGACACCACTATCCTCTGGCACAGCAACACCGCCTCCAATTTTCTTGATCAAATCATCGTGGACATAAGAAGGGTTAAAGAGTGGTGTGATTCCAATCTTTTATCATTCAACATCGATAAAACAAATGTGGTCACGTTTAGATGTAACATAGGGGAAGTACACTTGGAAAATGTAAAAATTTAAAATTTGGAGAAAAACAAATTTTTAGGGCTCTTCATTGATGAAAATCTAAAATTTGATTCCCATGTCGACTACTTATGTAAAAGACTAGCAGCAGGATGTCATGCAGTGAGAGTTGATGCAAGAGAGTTAGACACTACTATCACAAGATCAGTTTATTTTGAAAAATTGAGTCCTATTTACGTTATGGAACTTGTTTCTGGGGAAATTGTGCAAAATTTCGTTTCAATATGGTATTCTCTCTACAAAAAAGATCCAGATATTTATGCAAGGCTAGCTACAGGGATTCATGCCGCCCATTATTTGTGAAGCAAAAAATTCTGACCTTAGTATGTCTTTTTATTTTGGAAACAGTGTGTCTTATCCACAAAAAATATAAAAATCAATTTAGTAACACCTCAACTTATAGTACACGTCAGTCTTACTCCGTTTCCCTTCCCACACCTTCTCTAGCCCTTACACAAAATTCCATTATTTTCAATAGCAAGAAGTTATTTAACCACCTTCCCATTAATTTAAGGCGAATATATAATGAAAAGAAATTCAGAAAGAAAGTGAAAGAATTCCTTGTTGGAAGGCCCTATTATAGTGTGGACGAATTCTACCAAGGCTCTATCGAGTAATTGGCATGTAGCTTTGTGTAAACAAGTTATTGAAACCAACACGAAATGGCTATCAATGTTCATTATGTAGCATTATATTTTTACATTTACCTAATATTCATAAATTCATGTACTTATATTTGTATCTGTTCAGCTGGACTTAATATTGTTCTGTTCATATACTCTGCTCTTGTCTCTAAGCATTATTTTATAGTTTATATTTTTTATTGTCCCATATACATGTTTTACTTTACTAGACTTTGCCAATAAGATGTTCATATTTTGGGTAATAAAGCATATTTTGATTTGATTTGCTTGTAATGTGTAAGATAAAGAAATTGTTCACGGAAATACATCGTACTTAGAATGAAATAGAACCCAAGTATTTGACAAATTAGCCCACTTTCGTTTTTAATCCGATTCAGGATATTTTTGGGACCGACTATGTAGATGAGAATCCACACTGTATTAACCTAGTAACAGAGAGTATTGTGTTAACTTTACAGCGGTCACTATTGATATTGATAATTCGCATCAGATCTTTAGGGGGACAAACAGAAGCACTCTTTATTTATACCGAGGCCGGCCGTAAACTGGAAGCGTAGTTAGAGCAAAAAGAGCTGGGAAAAATCTATTTCGGACGATAAACATACAAATCGTTGCCTATAGTGAATAACTTGCTGCAATCCATGATAACAGTGGCTTGTGAGAATGATGTATCAACAACCACAGTCAAGAAATACCTCCGAAGACATAAGTTCCACACCTATAAACTGAAGATATTACATGAATTAAGTGAAGATGAACTTGACAGAAAAATGCACTCCTTTCTCAAGCAAAAATGTCAACTGCCAAAATATGCGTTAATGGTGAGGCATATACCCACCAAATTTTCGAAAATGTCACATTTAGACTCTCCAGGAAAAAAATGTCGGCGCAGGAATATTGGGAAATCATATTCTTGGTCCTATATATCTAAACTATATTCCAATCCGAGGCTCAGTGAATGTACACAAAAAATATTTTTGTAATGTAGTTTCAATGTATTTAAATTAGGAATTTGTCTTTGAAAATAAATATGAAAATAGCATTTTTTATCATCTAAGTGAATGAAATAGAAATATTTAAATTGAGTAAAGATTATTTTATCAACTATTCTAGTTCGTTTGAAGACGTGTTACTATCATCCACATCTATTACAAATTGTTCAATTTGTTGCTCTATAATAATGTCTAATTTTCATATTTTTTTATTCACTTTTTGCTGCACGTGATCAATGCATTTTTCCCACTTTTTTGGCGTGATGCTAGCTATCGCATTATGGAAAATATTTTTTATGTCAGCAAATTCAAATGTATTATGCTCCGCAACAAAATTTATTGTCAGTCCAAATTAACTCAATGGGATTAAGTTCACAGTGATATGATGGCAGCCTTAAAACAATTTTATTTCAAGCTTTAGGCATTTCATCAATAATATATGTATAATTTTTTTCTTTGCTCATTAACTATTGTTGAAAATTCTACTTTAAGTAATGTTTCTTCAAACTGGATAATTTTAGACCACAGTCAGTCTTGAATATTAGATTTCCTTGATGTAATTTTTTTTTCAGATTCCTAGAATGATACAGGACATTGTCTAATACAATAATACAGTTATTATTAAGTTTCGGCAAAACATGTTTAAACCACTCTTTGATAGAATTTCCATTCTCCCTGGAAATCTCCTTTTTTTATTAAAAAGCCCACAGCACCTATGGAATAAATCCGGCATCACTTCAAATGTGAGAAACTAGCCTTTTTCCTGAAATCGCAAAGCATTTTTTATGCTGTAGTATATACCCAGACAAATAAAGCAGCTCAATGTACTTTCACTTATTTCTGACTTATTATATTCAATCAGCGGAATAGATACCAAAATTGTGAAATATACATATACCGAAAGTAAATAAATGTAAAGAGTACAATACGTTTATAATTTGCCTGATGTTTTTTTTTAATCCTGTTGAAAGTCCACAAACAAAATTCCAGTCTTGAGGAAGTAACAGAATTATCAACCCCAATTTTTGATTTGGTATGTTCAGCAATTACCCAAGTCTCGTCTACAAAATAAATCTTCCTATTCTCATTCCTGTAGGATGTTTTTTTTGTCAAATACTCTCTTCCCCATAGCACTATTTTATCCCTATCTAAAACCAAGCTACTTCTTCCTAGTTTTTGATATTTAAAATTCAAAAAGTACCTTGTCAAGAGTAGGGAGTTACTTTCTAAAAGAATATTGATGTACAATTCTTTTGATCCCATTTCTATAGTCATTCAATAAAAATGTAGTTAGTGGAATATTCTCTGATAATTTTGTACACGCTGCTTTATTTGCCACTTTGTTTACAATTTCATTTTTGAGTAACATTGGATTTTCTTGAGTATCATTCTAACACATGTTTAAAATCATTTTCTTGGTTTTTATCTCACGAGACTTTTTTGACCTTTGGCTAGAAGACAACACATTTCTGTAGACCCATCAGCTGTATCCGTGCTAGACATCTTCAAATATCTTGGATATATTATTAAATGTACCAAACAAGTATTTAGACAAAACACTAAAAGTGTTGATATATGCTCGAGGAGAAAACAAAGAAAACACGCTGTTATTTAATATACTTTGAAAGTATTTAAATAAAACATAATATTTAAAATACAAAAAGATGAAAATTTAAAACGATGCAATTTAAACAACACAATTAAACTCAATGAAATGGATGAGACGCACTTCGCACTGAATCAGAGTACACATCTGCATCAAAACAGTAAAGAGCATTTGTAGCAGTTTATGATCGCTTGACCAATACCACTGCAGATTTCAGCAAGCCACGAGGCGGTTAAGCGCTGATCATTGTTAATTTGGCCTGAATCTCGGATTGGAATATATTTATTATATCTGACTATTAATTTATATATATAAATTCTTTAAAATCTCATTCACCCACGGATTCAAGAAATTAAGACCAATAATCAAGATGAATTCGAAAATACAGTTGTTTTTCGACAATATGTGGCGCCCCCACAGTTTTTAGGCCTGTAAGGGATTGGTTGGATAAGACATACCCAGGCATGTGGATTGGTGGGTGCAGTCCATTGGAATGGCCTGCTCGTTCACCGGATTTGACTCCTCCCGAATTTTTCCTTTGGGGCTATAACAAATCAAAAGTTTATGTTATGCAACCTTCACGAAATAATTACTGAACCTTGTACTAGCATTACCCTGGAAACATTTCAAAATGTTAGAAATAAGTCCGAAAATGGACTGTTCACTGTCACTGGGTTCAAAGAGAACATTTTGAACATCCGCTCACATGATTTTTTTATGTATGAGATAAATAATAACAAGGTTAAAATAAAATGCTATTGTTTGATGCCTTATAAATTAACATTTATCTATTGCAAAAGATACTACTAATTCATTTCTCTTTCCAATGAACATTCATTGCAAAAATCTGACAAAGGTTGGCGGTGTTACGAAATTCCTGGGCCGAAATTCAAACATTAACTCTGCAACCGGTTACCGAAATTTAAAAAAAATGGAGCCTATTGTATAAAGATTTGAAATACCTTTCATACGAAATGTCACAAGTAGCGTCTTCTATTGCGTCACACTATTGGCTTTTTTACCAAAAAGTACTAAAAATGATTACTTATTCCAAAAGTTAGGAGGGATGGGACTATTTACGTCCGCACTATATATAATGCTATTGATAGCTTTACTTGTTCTTACTGGATTCAAACAAATTGAATTAAGTATTATACTATTATTATTACAAAAGACATTTATTTGTGGAATACTATATCATACATACTTAGAATTCACGGTCTTATTTCACTCACCTTTAGCTGCAGCAGCGGCTTCAGCAGCTTTGGCTTTCTCTTTTTCAACCAATTTTCTTACCAGCTCTTTCCTTTTCTCTGCCTCTTTTTTCTTTTGTTCCTCCGCTAACCTTTTCAGTTCTTCTTCACATTTTCTTCTCTCTTCTTCCTATAAAAACAACAAACTCCAGTCTATCATATCAGGAATGAAAACGAAATCTCACAAACATCAACGACGAGCAAACAATATTATGATTTACAACTTACCAGAAAAAAAAAATCAGGAATTATGAAGGTGATTGCCAAAGAAATTACAAAAGAGGATATGAAAATAGTTAAAACCATGAGAGTTGGTAAGAAGAACAAAAATGAGGCCAGGTCATTGAAGGTTGTATTTCGGAGAGGCCTTATTGTTTATGTGAAACAAGAGAAATATCAACAGGGACAGGAAAGTGTTCATAGACTTGGATATGACTGCAATGCAAATGAAAAACAAAAAAGTTGAAAGAAGAATTGAACTCGAGAAGACAAAGAGGTGAAGAAGTTTTTATCAAATATGTTAAAGGTGCTCCTCAAATAGCAAAAAACCCACAAAAGTAAAACCATCGAAAACATTTTCTGAGTGTTACCATAATGTAGGTGGCATTGAGGAACAAAATTTCCAAATTCCGCTAATCTGTTATCTGTTCTGTTTATGAGGTAATTATTTTAGTCCTGGCTAAACAATGAGTACACTGATGAAAGAAATTATCATTTTAGGCTATGCCAGCTTCAGACTAGATAGGGATCCAGTAATTTCTGGAAAAAGGAGGGAATGGTATTCTAATATTAACAAAAAGTAGACTTTCAGCCAGAATTATCAGAATACCCCCCAGCTCTATTGAGCAACTTTTTATTTCAATAAATTTGGTGGGGTTTACCTAACTCCACTATCAAGCCCAGACACATTTATTGAGCACGTTGATACTATCGATTATATATTTTAAAATTACAACAGCAATGTGTGTGATTGATGATTCGTTTATTTTGTGGTAATTCATGATCACTTTAATGAAATGAATAAAAACACTTTTGTCTAATTACCACTAGTTACTTTTATTTATACGACCAGTTTCGGGTTTAATCCCATTATCAAGTTTTATACTTGATTGTGGAAGGTGAAAATCCCCAAAAAGGTCGATAAAAAACCTGAATTCATGTTTTGAAAATCCATTTGAAAATATAAATTACTCTATGTAAGAAACACTAATTTTTAAGAGAATGGTCAGTTTTCCATTTTTATGTTCATAGTTTTATCTAAATAATGAGTAGTAGGTATAGACGATTTTGAGAAAATGGCTGCAACTGGGGCAGATAAGAGTCAAAAACCATTCAATCAATCCATTAATCATTTTGAAAGAAATCGAAAAATAAAACACGGTCCAACATACTTTGTAGAATAGTCATAGTATTCAAGTCACCAGACTTCTTGTTGTTTTTGTGTTACTTATAAGTGAAGAATATAACAGTCACTTACCTTCTTCATGCGTTGGCGAGCTTTTTTGGCGGCTTTTTTTTGGGCCAATTCCATTTTGTTCAAAGCCGTGTTACCTTCAATATAATTGACTAACCCGCTAATGTCATCTGTGGCCGAAGATGTGGTAATAGACGATTCGGATGACTTGACACATGGTGCTGGAGGGATATTTGTAGGAGAAGAAGGTAGTGGTACCCTTTCTTCAACTTTATTAATGGCAGTCTTGACCTTACAGTTGTTAATATTACTCGTGCCAGGAGTGGGATTTTTGCATGCATCTTTGGACCGTTTTTCCCTCCTTTGATGTAAACGTTTCCTCAACTTATCTCTCAGTTCTTTGTTTTTGTGGAATTGAGACTGAAAGTGAAGTAGTTAGCAAGAATAGATATTTTATTGGACGTAGTTTACCATTTCATATACATCACAGTAGTTGCACTCACCATGCTCACACCCTAGGTGGCCTTGACTTAGATCTGAAAGAACATTAAATCAGTTCAAAGTATGAATTATTTTGATTTCATGAAAAATAATATGAGTACTAAAAGAGTACAGCTGTCAATTAGACTTCATTTCTATGGTCAGATGGTAGGCAGCTGGTGGTTTGTTCACTCATTCAATCAACGCTATGTGAACGTTGGTTCGATTCCAACTACAGAACGATTGTGTCATTGGGTATTATCTGACCCGCATGTTGGAAGATAAGATCTTGTGAATCCCTAGCTAGCACAAGTTTCGACTTCTGAGGGTTGTCTTCTCTAAGGGGATGATGGCTGGTTATCCGAAAAACTCATTTTTGATAACATTTAAGTATACAAAATAAAAAAACAACAATCATTTCGATTACAACCATTTTTTATTGACAAAACTTTTGACTTTTTACTTTTCAGTAAAAATATGAAGTTCGAAAAATATACAAATAAAAGAGGAACTATTTGAAAATTTCAATGAAATCCCTGCAAGAATGTGTACGTCATATAAGAATTCTTTTTAGGTACAAACCATTTGAACAACTACTTAAAATACGTTCTACCAGACTCTGTACGGAAAGAGGATTATTGTTGATAATTCTGCAAATCCTCATCGACGGTACTCTCACCCTGTCGTGGTGGTGGGGCTTGCGTACTTTAACGAACCCGAGAGCCATGCCGGCGGTAGCTTATCTACTGGTGCAGTCTCCCAAGCCGGAAGGGTTGAGGGTGAAGAGTCGGGGTTTAGAATAAGTGTGATAACCCTAACCTATTATGAGTGAGGGAAAACTAAAAAAGGGGGTTAATCCATTCGTATTATGCGGTACTTGGGAATGGTATCACTTAAGGAGTCTTTGGGATACCAGGCGAACTCTCAGAATACATAGCCTTATCCATGCAGGGAGGCTCCGTGGATGTGAATTATCCTCTTCCCGATACTCGTGGGATTCATATGGAACAAGATAAAAATAAAAATGAGGAGAACTCTTCCAGCGGCTTCTCGCACCTTATGACTGACCTGGAGACCCAAGTGGACCAGCGAAATCAAACACAAACGGCGGGTATTGACGGCACCACCGAGTTCTTAATTGCAGGACTGGCAAATGTCGACTGCAACACAAACAATGTCAGAAACGCAGATGTACAAAGTGAAGAAAATTTCTGAGGGGACGTGGACTGAAGAGACACCAAAGGACCGTACCAAAGATTCTTCGAAAAGAAAATTTGTAGAAGGGATCAGAACGGGACCCAGAGAGGATTGAATCTCACCCCTGCAAAGGGAATCAAAGAAGCCCAGGAAATCTCATGAACAGATTGGGTTATGCAGTAAGGCTGCCAGTGGGCTGAAGGTGGCGGTCATTGATAGATGCTATCCAGAAGTCACTCCAAGTCAGGTACAAGTCGGGAAAACAGGGTACTGGAAAACGTATAGGAACACACATGGTGAAACCTTTATGATGGGACCTTCGAGAAGAGAACTGAAGAACTGCTTCAACAAAGTAGGAATCCACTGTACTTTAGTACACAAATTCAAAAAGAAAGAGTGTTTCAATAATTTCAAGAGTAGTTTCAGATTGATTTTTCCTTTCAATTTGTGTGTGAAGCATCCACTGCTTTATTTTTACTGATAAAGATCAAATTTATAGTTTACAAAGATTGAAGATCAAAGCCTTGAAAGTAATAAAAGAAAAATTCAATGAAGTTTATTTCCACGTAAAATTCTTTCAAAATGTGGATTCTAAAACAATATCAAGATCCACTTTTATACTCATTAAAAATTGAAACAAAATACTATAATGTATTAATTTGACTTGATGAGGCAAGCACACTTTGAATAATCCTACATCGTTGTGTTCTCTGGTCAATGGTCTCCATTTTACAATTGCTATAATAAATTAATTAAAAAGGTTCAACGTCGTTTCCTAAAGTTTATTTACTTCAAATTTCATGGTATCTATCCTGATAGAGGTATTCCATATGAATCTCTCACCTTAACAGTCAATAATGAGTGTCTTGTTACACAGAAAACTTGCTGGAATGGTCTTTCTATATAAATTACTGCACAGTAATGTGGATGCTTTGGAGGTGTTATCTCTCATAAATTTCTGTGTCTCATTTTAGAAAAAAAGTTCAGAAACGTTTTACAGCCGACTGGCCAGAACCAATTTGTACCTTAAGTCACCTATCTTTAGCATTTGCAATAATTTCAATTCAATTTCAAATTTGTGATATCAATTTTGATTTCCTAGAATATATTGTTGAAACTGCATCTATTAATTCACGTACTATTCATTATTTTTCAAATTCATTATTATTATCGAGTATTCCCAAATTAATTTTGATCCTAAGTGATAGAATGAATTCGTTAAAATAATACATTATTTTCCTTTTGACATGTAGGTATATGAATAGTCAAATGAAAAATAAGTTCTACTCACAATGGTTTATTTATGAACTTACTAAAACTTACCAATACTGAGTATTGTATCACAATATAAAAAAATGACTAGATAAATCATTTTGATTAATCCCAAAGAATAATAAATTCCCCAACAAAATTGGCAATAACAATTTTGAATGTAATCTTTTATAGCCACATTCAAATATAATAGTTAAAACTCACTTATTGTTTCCTCTTCGCCGTTTTCTTTCTGTCTTTCAAGTTCTTCCACAAGCCTGCTAGCACCTTCACTTCTAGACGCTAATGCAGTTGCTACTTCATGACTGAAAAAAAAGTTTAATACGCTTAATATAACATTACATAAGATGGTGATTAGAGAAACAAAATTTAATGTGGCAGATTATAAAACTAGGTAAAATATCAAAGTAATAAGTGTGACAAATATATTTGGAAATGTTGAGATTACTGAAAAAAATTCCAGATAGACATTAATGATTGTACCTGATAATCACTAGTCTTCAATTCATTATTATAAAGTTTTAGGGTGGTTCAGGAGAAGTTGCTTGTTTTAGAGCTTATTTAAATGACGTTTCAAAATTTAAGAAATTGATTCCAGAGGTATTTGAAAAAAAAACGAAATTTGCCGATTTTGTTTACATTTTTTTTTGACTTTATACAAGTAGATAAAAAACCAAAAAATATTTTCTCACTGACACATAAAGAAGATTCATCCGGTATAAGTTAGTCTTTTTGGCACAACGTCACTGATTCATCATATTATTCACAATTTCTCAAATTTAAAAACGTCATTTAAATATGCTTAACCGACTTTACATCTGATACGGTTTTCTATGGTGGCCCTCCATATCTTGGACACATTGTATCATTCAAATACGAGTTCTCAACATTTTGAATGAGTTTAAGTTTGAATCTCCTTCAAACCTTCATTGAATGTATTTTGAATATTGACAAAATGGTTTGGACTTTCGCGGCTGAGGTTTTCAGTGTCACTGTTTTTCGAGTTTGAAAGCCGTGGATTTTTGGAATTTCTTCCTGACGTTTCGAGTGGCTAGCTTCTTCAGAGGTTTAACCATCATGGCTTGCTGTCCAATGACTAACTTTTAGGCTTCGTAAAGCGTATTTATGCCTTGTCAGGTAATCCGTTGTATTGGTACCTGTATTTGTACCTGTACAAATACAGTACAGGTACAAATACAACTAATTACCTGACGCACGCGCCAGCGAAACGTCAGGAAGAAATTCCAAAAATCCACGGCTTTCAAACTTGAAAAACAGTGACACTGTACTTTGAATATTCTAGAAGTATATACTTTATGTCTTAAATATAATGAAAAAAGAAGATTCAAGTAATTCAAAATTTATATTTGAATCATATAGATATCATGTTTATAGATGAATATTTAGAATATATTCATGAAATCAAAAAAGAACACATTTTAATTTTATATATTCCTAAAAAAGGGTTACAATGGATTTTACCGTTAATAAGCCATCATATTTCTACGAACAGCTTTCTGAATTCGATCAGAGGACGATCAAAAGGTTAAAGAGACATCATTTTTAATCGTGCGACTCCTAGCACGGGACAGATGAAATTCAGTGTACACCCATCGTCCCAGATTTATTGAAAAATATGAACCGGAACATATTCAATTATAGGTTCAACTCATATATGATCAATATTTTCTATACTTTTACTAGAGGTTTAAGTAGGTGTATAAGATACGGATATTGTTATTTGCCGTGGAGCCTCTACTTCTCATTCTGGAATGAAAAGCCCTGTCTCTGTCATATCGATCGGATTTCAGATTATCAAATTGCTTTATTTATAGGATATAATAATATCTACTTTTTTGTATATCTAATATAGGTACATACTAGGAGACAATAAAATAACTTATACGGACGCCGTTCAGTTGTTTCTCGGGTGAGAAATTTGAAATTTGCCTAAAGTTCATTGGAGCCAAAATTTCTAATGAAAAAACAATTGAGAATTTATTTTTGGTTTAACCGGAAAGAATTGCAATTAAAGCACAGACAATTTGATAAAATACAAAATTCTCTTTTCAACAATATTACACAAGTGATCATTTCCTTTCAAAATGGACGCCGTGGGAGTAATTTATTCTCAACTCAATATGCTGGCAATAAGGAAATATTATCAAACAACTTGATGTGAGTTTTTGAATAAAAATTTTGGAATTGAAATTTTTCATTAATTCACGTACTATTCATTATTTTTCAAATTCCATTTTTCACATCATTTATCTCGAAAATTTCAAAAGGAAGTGGTATTTATAACATTTAAATATTGAAGTATACCATTTGTACTGTAAAGAAATGTCAAGGATACTATGTGGTTTGTCAAATGGAAAAGTGCTTTCACTTTGTCACTGGCACAGAAAAATTAAGGTACATACTGTCATGACATTTTTTTGAAGTACAAGATGTATTCGTTCATGTAAACATTAATGAAATGAATGAAAACACTTCCACTAGTGGAAATTAGACAAAAAATTTTCCATTCATTTCATTAAAGTGATAACGAATTTCCACAAAATAAACAAGTCATCAATTACACACGTTGATGTAAAGTTTAAAAATGCCACTTCCTATTAAGATTGTCGAGCTGAATGTTTTTGGTGAAAAAATTCAAATTTCAAAATTTGTTTCAAAAATTGAGCCAAACATCGTCTATTATTTCTCACAACATCATGTTTGAAAATATTTCCTTAGATGACGTAATTGTGCCGCCATATTGAATAGGGGAAAATGGCTCCTACAGCAAAACTTAAAGTTGTCCTCCATCATTGCTGTTTTTGAAAAAAAAACTTTTAGTTACAAAACTGTGTTTCTTTACCATTTGAAATTGAAAAATATTAATTAACAATGAGACATCAAATAATAATATCTTTTTCACTTATTACCAAGGTCATAACAGAATTATAAATGAAGTAAATATAGTTGATATTTTCAAATGGAAAAGTGTTTCATGTCCCAATGAAAGACTAATCTACAAAACAACGCTAATCCAAAATATATTTTATGTTCTGTGCCAACCATGTCCAACTAAGAGAAATCGGGACATGCCTGTAGAGCGTAGGTGTTGGGTTCAAAGTGAGTGGGTCTATTCGACCCTCCACCGCAACCCGCAAGGATTTATTGTGGCTCACACCTATTCAAACTCGACCATACAAGCTGTATGGTAGTAAAACAAAAGTGCTCTTTCCCAGTCAAACATTTGTGTATAAGTTCCATCATCTTTTCTTGTCCACATATCATCTCATGCTAAGAAAAGGACAAAATTACTTTAAACTTTTTCTACAGCGCCAAACTTGATATTAGAAGTGGCTATTAGACCTAACAGATAAAAGTGGCTAATATACCTGCAAAGAAATTTTACCACATGAAAAATGTCTACAGGCAACAGCCACACAATTGAGGTAATCCTGTTTGGCCAGTATACGTCGATCATGGTTTTGTTTGTTTACTTTTTGTACGTTTGAGATGTTTTGCAAATAATCAGTACATAATATGCATATGCTAATGTTCTAAAGATGAATATTTGTTAAGATGAACATAATATTTCACGTTTTTTTCTCCACGGGAGTTTTTTCCTAAATTCTCTTCACCGAATGTGATCAAGTTGTGGTAAAGCAGGTTGGAGAGTTTATTTTTCTGTTAGAACTTGTAGAGATTATCGAAAAATAATAAATTAGCATCATTATTCAAGTTTGCATTTTTTGCAGTTAATTGAAAAATACCTACTGTAAAGTGAAAGAAACCTTCTTTTTCAGCAAAAACATGTCATCTAGAAAAATCATAATCTAGAAAAATTAGAAAACTCATAATGAAAATGTTCTTTGTTATTGCCTCAACATCGTAATTTATGCTTTTATACCAAGATAACACAAGGGACATATGGGTTTGCATATTTATGTTTTCTCTTGACTGTACTACTTTAGCACCTCCTGAACGTATAGTGGTAATACTTATAGTTCTGAATGTGTTCCTGGGATCAAAAACCATCACCTTTATTGGTCAAACACATTCAAATCAATAGCAATTATAATGAGTTATCCCATCAATCACTAACAAAATATATAAGAATTCAATAAATACAAATAGGCTTACTTTTCACACTTGTGTCCATTTTTCTGTTCTTCTTTAGGCTTTGACGAGTCGCATTTCTTGGTGACACTACAATAAAAACTTGTTGAAAAAAATAAAGCAAATATGGAATTTACTTACTTATTTTGAGGGGGTTTCAGCATGGGATCAAAACCGGAACTACCAGTCATTGCATTATTATGGCTGAATATGTCTTTCTTTATTTTAATGAAATTTCTCATGTTCTTATTCAGAAGTTGTTCTTTTTTTACACTTTCTTTCTTGTGTTTGAGAAATTCCTCAAAAACCAGCTTTGTACAATTCAATTCACTCGGGTCATGCTGAGGCTTCGAAAAGTGAATATCGCAGGTATTTTTGAAGAATGGTGCTTCACTGGCTATTTTAGGATTGGGAGTTTTCTCATTAGAAGATGGATGCTCTTTAGCAATCTCAGCATCATTTTCATTTTCTTCAGTTGAAACTAAATCAGGACAGGTCCCATTGCCGTTTTCCAATTGGACAAATTCGATTTTTTCCGGTACTATTTTAGAAATATTCGTAGATTTATCAATAATTTTAGCATCGATCACCGTAACAGCATGACCTTGAATAAAAACGTTAAGAAACAGTTTCCCCCCATTTTATCACTCACCATTGATATGTCGGTGGAACACCTCAAGATCCACAAGGCAGCTACATCTTCTGCAGTAAGTTAAACGATTGACGTTTCTTAGAAACCTATCGTTCAACTGATCTTTTTCGCCATCTAAAATACATTCATATTTTGCTATTAGACATTCTTCACAAATACATTGGCCATTTCTATCCAATATTGGTCCAGCTGGATGGAAGAATGGATCACACAATAACCGAAAAAAGTGGTGATCCAGTCTTCGCAGATCTAAATCATTTTTTCTGCAAAAAATGATTATCAAGATTATTACAAATGAAGTTCAAATGAGAATATTGTAGATTGATATGTGTTTTCATTACTGATGCAAGTTTCAACGTTTTTAACAATATTTGTACATGACCATTCTCGGGTCTCATCGAATTCTAAAAACTGTTCAGCTTTCTTTGGTGGTATATTAACCACCTTCTTTACTTTTTACATTCTCTGCCATCTTTTTCAGAGTAGTTTTTGCCGCCCCCAGACAGTATAGACTCAAAGAGTATACTGAGTTTTCAGTGCTGATTGGCTTGCCAAGATATAATAGATTTTTTGACACCAGCTGCCTCTTGCTGGAATGCTTCGACATTCCTGAACACAAGCCTCTACAGCATGAATTTCGATTCCAAGGAGCTCAGAAATCTTCCTTTTACTTTCAATATAAAACATGATTGAAATTAAAAATAAACAGTCGTAGAATAAAATCAAATCTTTTTACTACCTTCTAAATTTCATTATAATGATGTATATTAAACTTTTGTTACTCCACCACGTTGATCACAGATGTTTCTTTGATGTATCTGGTATAACCCTACTACTGACACAGTTACATACGAACTTACTCATTGAAAAAATCCAAATCCACTTACTCTTGTTGTGTTCGTTCCACCCAAAAATTGCTGGTTAGAACTTTTTTATGATTTCCGATCATGGCTTCCTCGATGTAATATGAAATAGTACCTTCCACTAAACTGTGATCATCGCTGAAATTCAAAAATTACTTCAAGAAGCGAATAATGATTCAACTTTGCATATCAAAAAAAAATCATTAATTTTGATCAAATTAATCTAGAGTCTGTATATACAGGGCTTTTCATGATGAGCGTTAATTAGCCGTTTGTGGCAAACTATTCAACGGATCAACCTGAAAATTCCACAGTATGCATAAGTCAATATGACCTACACGCCTAAAATATTTTAGACGAAGCGGCGTTGTCGCTTCTACTATAAAGTAGCGGCTTCTTTGATTTTTCAAATGGAACACCCCGTATATAATATCATATTATGATTCATTATCACTTTGTCAACAAATTCATATACTATTTCC